CTGCCTTGTGGGCGTGGCGGCTTCGCGTTGGGCGGTGTAAACACCCCTTCACGTTGCCATCTTTCTCTGCAGGATCTTTCAACTCCCTACTGGACTCCCCTGGCCTGCTGAGCAGCAGCAGCAACAACAGCAGCAGCAGCAGCAGCAGCAGCACGCCGTGTGACTCGTACACCCGTCGCTCGGCTCCTGTGACATCTTCCCTGGGGACTGCGTCTTCAGCATCTCCTTTGCCCTCACGCGCTGCTTTTGTTCGTTTAGAAGAGTTGCAGCGATCGCTGAGCCGCCCAAAGCAGAAAGCAGCGGAGGAAGCTGCGCATGCACCAAGAGCAGCAGCAGCAGCAGCAGCATCAGCAGCAGCAGCAATAGAGGCCCGTCCTATTCTATCCACAGCAGCAGCACAGAAGCCTCAGCCAGAAATCCCTTCAGACAGCAGCAACCACGTCGATGCCTCTGGCAGCATTCTGCTGAACTCTGCAGCAGTCAACGACTCCTCCACCTTCAGCACAGACGCCACCAAAACCCTCACGAACGAGCCGGAGATGCAGCAGCAGCAGCAGCAGCAACAGAAACAGAAGCAGCAGCAGCAGCAGCAGCAGACTGCAACAGCAGACGGGGAAGCCCTGCTGCAGCTTCAGACGGAGAATAGGCTGCTTCAGGAGGCCCTGAAAAACAGCCGGGCGGAAATTGAGGCGCTCGAGCTGTTCGGTCAGCTGCAACAAACTGCTCGCCAGGCGCAGCAGCAGCAGCAGCAGAAACAGCAGCAGCAGCAACAGCAGCAGCAGCACCAGCTTCTCCCGACAGGAGACTGGCCCCAGCAGCGGCCGCTAGTTGCAGCGGCTTCGCATGAAGTGCCGAATGCCAGGCAACGGCACACTGAGGAGGAGGAAGAGCAGCAGCAGCAGCAGCAACAGCAGCACCAGCAGCAGCAGCAGCAGCAACAGGGACAGCAGCAACAGCAAGAACAACAGCCGCAGAAGCAGCAGCAAATACAACAGGAGCAGGACCAGTCGGCGCAGCAGCAGCAGCAACCCGGACAGCAGCAGCAACTGATGCAGCATCTGCAGGAATTTCAACAGTCGCCGCAGCAACAGCCTCAGCAGTTCCAACAGGAGCAACAGGAGCAACAGCAGCAACAGCAGCAGCAGCAGCAGCAGCAGTTTGAGTCATCACAGCAGCATACGCAGCCCCTAGATGGCCAGACGCAT